TAGTGTAAAAAACAGAGGCCACTTGGTCTTTGCTCAAGAATTAGGACCTAAAAGGCTTTAAGTAAGTCAAAATCATGGAATCATAGAAGATGGTGACTCCACAGGTAGAGAAGGCTTTTTACTTACCTCTGTGGAATTGGTAGTAGAGAGAATGGACATGTAGGACACAGAGACTATGATGAGAGATGCCACTAAAGTGAAACAAACAAGAATGAATATAGTGATCTCAACATTATGTGTGTCAGTACATGAGAGGGCTAATATTGGGGATGTGTCACAGAAAAAGTGGTGGATTACACTGGAGTTATGGAAGTGAAAGGTGCTCATGCCAAGCACAGTGACAGTGGAATCAATAATGTCAATCACGTAGGCTGCAGTGATGAGGGAGAAGCAGCGCTTAGTGGACATAGTAACTGGGTATTGTAGAGGATTGCAGATAGTGACATAGCGGTCATAGGCCATCGAAAAAAGAAGAAAACATTCAGTTGTAGCCAAGAAGATAAAAAATACATCTTCCTGAAGCAACCTCAAAATGAAATATGTTTGGTGAAAGTCAGTAAGTTCTCTAAAATTTTAGGGGCAATGACAATTGAGTACCTGAGATCAATAAATGACAGGTAACTGAGGAAAAAAATACATGGAGGTGTGCAGCTGGAAATCCAGGCGAATGATCAGTATCATCCCTGCATTCCCCAGCACAGTAATCAGGTATATCAGGAGAAAGAGATTAAAGAGGACCAGCTGGATCTCATCAGAGTCTGTCAATCCCTCAAGGATGAAGTCAGACACGTTAGTGTTATTTCTTCTCCCCATAGTGTGCAACTTTCCTAAACTGTAGGAGATTAAAGTTAATATTTTGCATCAGTGATTTCGTATTGGTTTTGTTTATATGAATGACCTGACATTTAAAAAGATACAGGTTTGTTTCCAGAAATTCATAACTAGAGTAGTTTACAAAATATGACTGAAACAAATCTTAATTTTATTACCATGTATAAAGATGGCTAAAAGATGACATTGTATACTGTATAATAAAAAGTAACATACATTATATAATTAGAATTAAAATACCAATATTCTCAGTACTTCCCTTTGTTAACAACTTTGATGGTGGTGGTGGTTCTCTTCCATGGAGTGGATTCCAACTAACAGTGAGCCTGAATAGGGTTTCCAAAGCTATAAATCTTTACAAAAGCAGAAAACCTCAGCTGTCTTCCATGGAACAGCTGGTAGTTTGGAACTGCTGACCTTGGTGTCAATAACCCGACTCACAAACACAACACTACAACTTTAAATCCGGGAAACATCATACATAAGTTTTATTGTTAGACACACATTTAGATAAGAAAATTGTCAGGAAGTTCAAGTAACTTACCCAAAGCCATAGGCAGTAAATGTTGGCTCTGTGATTCTACCATGATTGGCTTATTACAGGAAGCATGCTTTTAACACTATATTCTTAATCAGAATTATTTTCAGCATCTTGAAAAAATTATATATATATATTGTAAGCAATGATATAATGTAGCCTTAATACATCATTTACTATCTTTTTTTTTTTTTGCAATATTTTGTAATATTACTGGCAAATAAGAAAGGTCAATCCTTGATTTCTTTATTTCGGTGTATTAAATATATGAACCATAGCATATTTATTTTAAGACTGCATTTTGTTTGCTTAACTTCACAATTTAGCATCAAATTCCTTCTGAAAGTTACATTTTCTAAATATGCATACTGCTCGCATACTACCAAATCTATCAGCTCTTTATCTGTGTTTCTTCAAATACCAGCTTATGTGTTGAGAGAGGAAGTCCTGTGTGGCACCTTAGATTTAGCACTTGACCTCAAGGTCATTTGAACCTCAAAGCTGGTAGTTCAACCACTCCTCAGAAACCCTATACAAGGTCACTTTGAATCCAAACCAATTCAAAGTCACAAAACAACAACAACAAATATGGAAATAGAGTCAAATATATCTATACTTTTAATATATCTAAATTTATATCTTACTAATACGACAGACTGCAAAGTTATTTGAACTGCAAGGTCAGTGTTTCTAGCTCATCAGCTACTCTTGGAAACCCTACGCAAGGTCACTATGGGTCGGAATCGACTTGACGGCACTTAACAACAACAACAATCTAGATATATGGCATCCTGGTGTGTTCCTGTGGGTTAATTCACTAGATTATAAGGTCTGTTTGAACAACTAGGTCTGTAGCTTAAACCCACCAGTCGCTGCTTGGATAACCCTACACAGAGTCACTATGGATCAGAACATATATGTACATTCATATGCAGTTCTGGTATGGAGATACAAAACAAGCACTGTACTGCTAATGACTAAATTGGCAGATCAAACCCACCTGCCCCTCCTACACTCCAGCTTCTCTCAGAAACCATATACACGGTCACTGAGTCAGACCCCATGGGATAACACTTGAAAATAACTTAAATGCTGACACAAAGTTGCCAACTCAGAGCAATCTTGTGTAGGGAAACTGAGGAGCAACTTCTGGATTTGAACCTCTGACCTTGTTGTTAGCTATCTAGTGCTTATCCTACCGCTCAAACCTGGTGTAGCGCTATACAAATTCATCTTCTGCATTTCAGAAACCGTATACAGATTGCTATGAGTAGGAACCAACTAGTCAGCATCAGTAGATATGTTTATATACGGTGGTGGTGGTGGTATGATGTGGAGTCCATTCTGACACATAACGACTCTTATAGGGTTTCCACATCTGTAAATCTTTACAGGAGCAGAAAGCCTCATCTTTTTCTTGCAGAATGGCTGGTAGTTTCAAACTGCTGACCTTGAGGTTAGCAGCCCGATATTTATATATATAAACTGTCTCCATTTTATCTGATATGAATTAAACCAAATGAAAACTGTTGCTATCAATATGGCTCTGACTCCAAATACCCTTTAGGACACAGTAGAACTGCCTCATAGAATCTGCAAGGCTTTCATCTTTTGTAAGTCAATTGCCCAATCTTCTCCAATAGAGCATCTGGTGAGTTCAGGCTGCTGATGCTTTGGATAACAGTGAGCCATCAGATTCCCTTGATAAGACCTAAACCTTTCAAATTTTAAGTATAATACTTACCAGAGCAAAAGGTGTTGGAAATTTTTTCTCCCTAAATTATGTGTTTAAAATTTTGTCATGTTAATTATTTTTTTTAATTGATGCATTTTTATTATTTAAAAACAAAACACATTACATATCCTTTACCCTCTACAATTCAGTTATAGCCAAACATTCTAATACCAAACAGACTGTCCTCTGCCCAGCAGCAAGGACTGAAGTGAGATACTGAAGACACAGGAAGGTGAATACTATGGATAGGGGTTTCAGCTGTCGGCCAAGTCTTACTCTCAAACACAATCCTCCCAAGTTTTTCATTCTACAGTTAATGTGCTTTACAGGTAGTTCTTGAAAATCATTTCAATCCAAACACCAAGCTTGTTCGATGATACCCAGCTCTAGGAAGTTTACATTTCCATAAAACTGAGAGGAACCAAAAGTCATTTTGTCTTTGTTTTTGGTGGTGTAGAGAAGTAAAACTATCAGTCAGATTCCTTTGGTAAAAAATGAGAAAAAGAAAAGATCTGGCTGTGCCGGGTACGGGTTTCTGTTTATCTTCCCAAGGGTGTGACTTCTGAAGAGTTAAATCACACTCATGCCACTGGAATGATTAGTACTAGTAATCTTCTTTAGATGATAAAAACAAAAATATCCAAATGGACATAAAAATGGTCAAAAGTTATTTACAGCACGTCAAGTCTCTACCCCATTTGTCCAAAAAAAAAAAAACCATACAAAATGAACATGTTGTAGGGACGGGAACTCTGTTAGACGTTCTAATTAGCCACTCACTTGTCACCAAAACAGGGAAGGGGAACAGCCATTAGGTTCCATTAGTAAGCTTATAGCAGTAACCAGATGTGGTAATAGCAGCTTATTGAGGTCCATCAGTCCTTTGAACATAAGAAGGGAAGCATGGCTATAGTTCTCTGATTGCCCACATCTGCACACATTCAGCTACCATAGGAACTACAGAGGAGGAAAATATCATATTTATTCCAAGATTGTTTTACTGGGATTTTTAGGCGTCCTTTTTCCTGTTGTTTTGTTGTTAAGTGCCACCGAGTTGATTCCGACCCATAGCGACCCTGTATAGAGTTTCCAAGGTGCAGCTGGTGAGCTTGAACCACTGACCTTCATGTAGAGCGATGACAATGTGCTAGGGACTGCTGTGTTTTCCAGTGAAGGCTCCCATCCTCTTAGGGTCCTGAGAGGGATAGCAGATTGGTCCTGGAGCCCTCATGAAAGGAGAGGTAGTCCTACTGGGTGGAACATGTGTGGCCCAAAACCTGAGGGAAAGGGAAGAGCAATGTGGGGGGAGTTGGGGGCTGAGGCAGGGTGATGTTGACCACGGCTGGAGGAACACTGGAGGCAGGTTAATGTAGTTGGTAGAGGCTTCTGCTGCTGCTGCAGGGGGTGGAAGCAGAGCTCCTGGTAGCCCTGGAATGGGCTCCACCTTGATTCCAGAGTCTGTGAGTCCATCCTTTTCTTTGTCTTTGCCTTTGGCTGCTTGGGATCGTCCCCATTTCACGTTGAGTCGGAGGCTGTTGACAACTTATTAAATCAACTTATTAAAGGACTTTTCAGCAGCTACTTCAGCAGCTTGTCTTGCAGCAAACTGAATGAAATCACACTGCTGTCTCTGCACAACAGTGATGGTCCGGATCTCTCCAAACTGGTAGAAATGATTTATCAGCTCTGTCTCAGTAATGGTATAGCTAAGCCCATCAACACATAGTGTGGTAATAGTCTAGTCCTCTGGTGGGTCCAGACGAGGCATTGTTGACACCCGTTTTAGAAGCTTATCTGCCACAGGGTCCTTGATGCCATAATATCTGTCTTTGATATTCTGATCAGCAAGTGGGTCATCTGTGTTTGTAGGCTTCTCATGGCTGTAGGGACACTCCTCTCCTCTCTTGCACTCTCCTTTCACCCAGAAGGTACAAATATGGAGTCAGTTCCTTTTGTAGTAGGGTGTGGTCCAGGCCAGTTTGATCAGCATATCACTAGTGGATGTAGCTTTCTCCAGCATGCCAACTGGCCATGTTCTGTCAGAGTCAGATATCTCTCTCTCCATATTCTGCGTATAGTATTCCTTGTTGACATCTGACTTTGTCATGTCATCCTTAAAAGACAGTCCTGCATCACGAACCTGGATGGGCAAGCGGTTTTCTAAGTCCAAGAGGCAGGTCTGACAGACATTTTTTAATTCACTGCAGGTTTGGCAGACTTCAGTCTTCTTGAAATGCATATGGACCCCAGGGCACCAGCAGAACACTGTGAATG